ATTCTATGTAATTTTCCTGGAATTAAACATATAGCAAATAGCAAACTTCTATTTTACACATTTACTTGATATAATGCATGTAAAATCCACTGTTCTCTATGAAGTATTAATTAGGGCTACTAAATAAATATTTTCTATTTCCAGTGTGTCATATTTTCAGAGAATTACACATACACCTTGTTAAAACTAGTTTGCATATTCCGATGCAACTTTATGACGGCCAGGTGACAAGGCGGTTAGGTTGCCTGACTGCCAATGACTGCGGGTTTGAATCTCGCACAGGATATGGATTTTTATCTCTGTGTGTTATCCTCTGGTTGTATGTGATGAGCGAACGTGGTCCAAACGGGTATCTGTGGCAGTGTGATGCGGGTAATGTTGCACGCTTTCGTGACTCGTGACTTTGCTCACAAGGTGCTCTCCATGCAACGTAAAATGAGCAACACTTCTGGTACCTTCCATGGCGTGGAACGATAATATCAGTGCCCTCCGTTTGAAAAAAAAGTTTACGTAGGAAAAATTGTGGTGGAAAGATTGCAATTCTTCCCTTCAGTAATCATTCCTCTCCCAAATATGAGAGTTTTAAAATATCGCAAACGTTTCCTGAATTCGATTAAAAAAGACTTTTTTTTCACTTACTCACAATATTCTCCGAATTTCTCTCTTGTAACTGGTAAACCAAGAGCATCGCTAGAAGTCCCCTCTTTCGAGCACTGCTGTAATACGTCAGGTGTGCAAGTTTCTCCTCTTAAACCGACTATGAAAAAAGGAGAATATGTTTGATTAGACATTTTGTTATGAACGTCCACACACTGAGAAAAATGCATGATCAAAGCAAGAATAAGGTAGAATTTACCATGGCTTTTGACTCTATATTTGAAAAAAAGATGAAGTATGGATTGTGTTTTCTACACAAGAGAGCGCTGCAAGCTCTTGACAGCTTATTTTTTTATCGTGTCCATGGACAATTAAATGGCCTCGTGTGCCTTCAAAACTGCATCCGCAAGCTCCAATACATCATTACTGTAGAGGATCTCACGAAGTTCTGAAGCCAGTGGCACCATACCTAGTTGTAAAACATATGGGATAAGGGCTGGGCACTCGAGAATGTAATCCGGGGTAAGTTGGATATCGGTGCAGTTCTTGCAGGGAATATAAGTTCTTATTTTGTCGGGAAGAATTTTCATCCCTTTAAAGTAGTTTGCTCTTAGTCTTGTAATTGTTGATGTTAAGATTCTGGAACAATCAGAGTCAGTAATGAGGGGTTTCCTGAAGGAATGGGGCAGAAGTCTGTGTCTTGCAACAGCATTTGCGTCTGCAAGCGTGATGGTGGTGCAAGGTTTGACAGGTAATAGTTCTTAGTATATTTTGAAGACATTTGTCTCACAACGTGATCATTGTGTTTTGAGATTTTCTTGAATATTATTTCTTGTATGCGTGTATTTTTTACTTGATTTATTATTTGTGTTTTAAAGACGAATCGTCATTTGAAGATCCGTCATTTCAAGAATTGTTATTTGAAAAAAGAATCTTCTATATTATATAAAACGCTAATACGTACGTATGTATGTATGTATCAATAAAACCGATGATATTTCTTTTCTCGCGCTGGCAATAGTTTTCATTTTTAATTGATTGGATTCGGCGCGCAAGAGCACGTAGTGAGCAACCAGATAACAATAACCAGAGTGAGCATTATCAGGTTGTTCAATTCAGATTCATGCACTAAAAACATGACAATATTTAATTTAAACTCAATTAGGAATTAATTAATTAATTGAAGTGAGAATGCTTTAAAAGGCCGCTGTTGAATTGATATTTTTCTACTGGGAGCTACCTAAACGTCTAAAAAACGTTTAAGTGTTTGTATTGAATGCATTGAATTTTTTTATATTTCGCGTTTATTTATGCATTGAATTTTCACGCTTTAAAATGCAGAATATTAGTGAAGCAATATTTGATAATTTATTTTGCTAATATGTTTCTTATTTAGCTAATGTTTTGATTTTTTCACCATGTACAATCTAAATAGCTAATATACTTTTTTAAAAGCCAATAAGAACATTGGTAGAATTCTTCTACATAAGTACAATACTATGTCTTTGATGATAAAATACTATGTCTTTGATGATAATATATTATGTCTTTGTGCTAGAACATTGTGTTCATTGGCGAGCGAGCGCAGCGAGCCATGGTTCACGGCGTGAACCACATAGGATTGCGTAGCAATTCTCGGGGGTTGGCGAGCGTTAGCGAGCAGGGGGCGGAGCCTCCTAGTATTATATAAAACGCTAATACGTACGTATGTATGTATGTATCAATAAAACCGATGATATTTCTTTTCTCGCGCTGGCAACAGTTTTCATTTTTAATTGATTGGATTCGGCGCGCAAGAGCACGTAGTGAGCATCATATGGCTAATCTATATTATATAAAACGCTAATACGTTTTAATTGATAGGCTTCGGCGCGCAAGAGCACGTAGTGAGCATCATATGTCTATCTATCTCCGATTGTCACCGAGAAAAAAACGGTTGGTTGGTTATGAGTACTGAAATAGTTCCTTTTCATTGGCAGAAATGAGAAGTATTATGATATTGCTATTTTATTTTGAATTGAGCGCTTTACTATTCCACGTTTTGTTATATTATTAGTTATGAGTTGAATGCAGTTTTAATATTCCATATTTATTTTAAGTTAAATTTTATGAATCTTAATAACCTACGTACGGTTTACAACAATCTCCGAAGAAGAGAGAGCCGCTCTAATGAAACTCCAGAAGAGCAATATCAACGGAGAACAATTAGAAATGCTACAGAACTAGCACGACGTTCTAATGAAACTTCAGAAGAGCAATATCAACGGCGAACAATTAGAAATGCTACAGAACTAACACGACGTTCTAATGAAACTCCAGAAGAACAATATCAACGAACAACAATTAGAAATGCTACAGAACTAGCACGACGTTCTAATGAAACTCCAGAAGAGCAATATCAACGGAGAGCAATTAGAAATGCTACAGAACTAGCACGACGTTCTAATGAAACTCCAGAAGAGCAATATAAACGGACAACAATTAGAAATGCTACAGAACTAGCACTGCGTTCTAATGAAACTCCAGAAGAGCAATATCAACGGAGAACAATTAGAAATGCTACAGAACTAGCACGACGTTCTAATGAAACTCCAGAAGAGCAATATCAATGGAGAACAATTAGAAATGCTACAGAACTAGCACGACGTTCTAATGAAACTCCAGAAGAGCAATATCAACGGAGAACAATTAGAAATGCTACAGAACTAGCACGACGTTCTAATGAAACTCCAGAAGAGCAATATCAACGGAGAACAATTAGAAATGCTACAGAACTAGCACGACGTTCTAATGAAACTCCAGAAGAGCAATATCAACGGAGAACAATTAGAAATGCTACAGAACTAGCACGACGTTCTAATGAAACTCCAGAAGAGCAATATCAACGGACAACAATTAGAAATGCTACAGAACTAGCACGACGTTCTAATGAAACTCTAGAAGAGCAATATCAACGGACAACAATTAGAAATGCTACAGAACTAGCACAACGTTCTAATGAAACTCCAGAAGAGCAATATCAACGGACAACAATTAGAAATGCTACAGAACTAGCACGACGTTCTAATGAAACTCCAGAAGAGCAATATCAACGGACAACAATTAGAAATGCTACAGAACTAGCACGACGTTATAATGAAACTCCAGAAGAGCAATATCAACGGACAACAATTAGAAATGCTACAGAACTAGCACGACGTTCTAATGAAACTCCAGAAGAGCAATATCAACGGACAACAATTATAAATGCTACAGAACTAGCACGACGTTCTAATGAAACTCCAGAAGAGCAATATCAACGGAGAACAATTAGAAATGCTACAGAGCTAGCACGACGTTCCAATGAAACAACTGTTGAACAACATCAACAGAGATTGGCCAGGAATGCTGCCGATAGGATTCGGCGCTCAAGAGAACGTAGTGAGCATCATATGGCTAATCGGGTGAATTCTCAAACTGAAGTCACTGTCTTGGAACACGATTGCGGTAGTATGACGGAGGTTTGCAATTTTTGTCACGCACTTTTTTGGCGGGGTGAACTACTCTCCAGTAAAAAATATACAAAATGCTGCCATGATGGGAAAGTCCGATTGCCGAATTTGGCTGATCCTCCTGAACTTTTAAAGGATTTACTATCCAATAATTCAGTTGAAGCTAGGAACTTTCAACAGCATATTCGGGAGTATAATGCATCACTGGCTTTTGCATCAATGGGCGCTGAAGTAAAATTACCTCCTGGATACGGCCCATATTGTTTTCGTATTCATGGACAGATCTACCACAGAGTTTCTCCATTGTATTCAGATGAAAAGAAAAAACCTGGATATGGACAGTTGTATATATTTGATTCTTCTGAAGCAAGCAGAAAGCGTTCATCCAACAATCCATCTTGCCTTGCCTCCGTGATGAAAAAATTGGATGAAATGCTACGTTTACTAAATCCGTATGTTGAATCATATTTGCAAATGCATAAATTAGTGCAGGCTAATCCAGCAGTAAAGGTAAAAATGGTTTTTGCTGAAAATTCAGATTTGGATATGCGGCGTTATAATGCACCTACCTCCAGAACTGAAGTCGCTGCCATATTTGTTGGAGATGAAGGCGAAACACCAGCAAATAGAGATATATGCATTTATCCAGTTGGGCAGGGTTGCATAAATATTTCTCCTTTAAATAAATGCAATGACCCTATGGTTTATCCTCTACTTTTTCCAAGAGGAGAACAGGGATGGTCAAATGAAATTGAACATGTTCAAGAGAGACGCTCGGCTAAAAGAAATAGAGTAACTCAACTACAGTTTTATGCTTATAGGCTTTCAGTTCGTGGTGGTTTCAGTATTTTGCATAGCAGTGGCAAATTATTTCAACAATTTGGGGTAGATGCTTACGCTAAAACAGAAGGATCTCGACCTAACTACATCCGCTTAAATCAAAAGGATCTAAGAGTAGAATTTTACCAGGAACTTTTGGATGCTTTAACAACACAAGCCTTGAATAACAATTTACGCGTAGGAAAGCTTATCATATTGCCTTCTTCTTTTCAAGGAAGCCCAAGATTTATGCAACAAAATTATCAAGATGCTATGGCAATGGTCAGAAATTTTGGGCGACCGGACCTGTTTGTTACATTTACCTGTAATCCTGCCTGGCCTGAAATTTTAAATGCCATGAATGGTCGGGAAAAACCCGAGAATAGACCAGATATTATTGTACGAGTTTTCAAGATGAAGCTGTCAGAGCTTTTGGACGATCTCATAAAGAGAAATATATTTGGAATTGTTACTTCTTACATATATGTTATTGAATTCCAAAAGCGGGGCTTGCCTCATAGCCATATTTTACTGACATTAGACTCTTCCTCCAAAATTCGTTCAGANTGACATTAGACTCTTCCTTCAAAATTCGTTCAAAAGACGACATAGGTAAGAGCAGAATTATCTAATGTAAATATAAATCAACGTCTTTTTGAAATTGTTACAAGGGTCCATGGCCCCTGTGGTTATTTAAACTAAAATTCCCCATGTATGGTAAATGCTCGAAGCAATTTCCTAAAGATTTCAAAGAGTAGACAGAAGAAAATGGCTATCCAGTTTACAAAAGACGCTCCACTGAGCCAGTCAAAGTTGGCAAGCATCACATTGATAATCGCTGGATTGTTCCATATAATCCTTACCTTATAAAACTAAAGGTCAGTAGATGAAGTTGAATACTTATAGCAGCAGAACTTAGGATTGGAACTCCAATTCTAGAGCAATGGAGGATCGTTTTGTATCCTAATTTTTACATATATTTCATGTTCTTTAAGTTTAAATGTAAGGGTAAGTTTAATTTGCCCAATGTATACAGGATCACAATTAAAAAATTTTATAATTGTTCTTGCTAATAGAATATGAACACTACAATTTTTTTATCAACATATCAACGATATAAAAATTTTAAATTTAATCATGTGAGCTAATATTTTCATAGAGTAATTTAAAAAAAGTCATGAAAAAATCACTCAATAAATTTTTAATGCATATATATTTCAATCAAATAAGGCATAATTTTTAATCCGAACTTAAACTCTAAATAATTTAAATTTTGTGCCAAAAAACTTGTTGTTTTTCAGATAGATAATTATTAGACTTGTTGGCAAAAAGATTAAGTTTCCTATGTACTCCCATTCTGTAATTGGGTAAAGAAATTCACCCTAAGCCCATTGTTTAGTAAAAAAAAAGGAAATATATTAAGTTTATAGAAAGAAAAACAGATTTGAAATGCATAATCAATAAGATGTCGAACTACAGAGTCTGTAACCTGAATAGATGTCTGTAACCAGAATAGATGTCTGTAACCTGGACGGGTGCCTGTCACAAAACCTGTGGCGGGTGCATTTTAAATTTCCATAGAAAGTCGAAATAGTCTGAACAGCTATCTGAGAATAATTATAACTTTCAAGTATTTAAAAATGTAACTATTTTTTCTAAAAATAGAATGTATTCTGCTTAGTTTACAGAATTTCAAAGCACATTTCCGCCTATTTTGAAACTTTTTCTTGAGTACCCTTTGAGCTAAGCAATTCCCTTTTGAACACCATGTCCTCTACTACCACTGCTTAGAATATTTGCTGGAGTTGTCAACCACTCAATTTTTGCAGCAGTCGAGTGTTGCCTACCTCTGACTGCTTTCGCAACCAGTCATTTATGAATGGAAATGTTCGAATTTCTTCTCAGTCTGGGAAAGAAGGCTCATCTGCTTTCGCAACCTGTCATTTATGAATGTTCGATATTCTTCTCAGTCTGGGTAAGAAGGCTCAAAAGCATCAATATATTGGGCAGCATAACTATTTATCAATGTATGTGTTGGAAAATATCTTGAATAAAAGTTACTGTCTCATAAACATACACTTCAATTTTCTTTTAAGGGGTAGTTCTTAAGTTTTCTCTGTTTCAACATTCATGTGATATGTTGATAGTTCTATCAATTAACTGTTTCGAATTAAAAAATAATAGGCAATAGATGAGTTACTTCATCGGCTTAAATAGCTTTGAGAAGGGCTGCACATGATTGATATTATGGTAAATATTAATAAAAGACGGTTGCCTGTCGGTTGATGATGGTCGGCAGGTAGATGTGGCGGTTGCCTGTCACAAACCTGGGCGGGTGCCTGTCACAAACCTGTGGCGGGTGCCTGTCACAAACCTGTGGCGGGTNGACGGTTGCCTGTCGGTGGATGATGGTCGGTAGGTAAATGTGGCGGTTGCCTGTCACAAACCTGGGCGGGTGCCTGTCACAAACCTGTGGCGGGTGCCTNCTGTCACAACCCTGTGGCGGGTGCCTGTCACAAACCTGTGGCGGGTGCCTGTCACACACCACTCAGTCGAGTGTTGCCTACCTCTCCCTTTGAGGAAATATCAATTATCAGAAGTGTTCCGAAAAATTAGTCAGCGAAAAAAATTAAGAAATTCTCGAAAGTTTTTTTTAATAACTTTTAAGACTTATTTCGTTATTTTCGTAGCATATTTGTAGTTTTTTCCTCAAATTAACGAAAAACCAAAGGAACCAAATAAGAAAAATAAAAGTACGCAATGTTTTGCTATAAAAATAGAATGTATTCTGCTTAGTTTATAGAATTTCAAAGCACATTTCCGCCTGTTTTGAAACTTTTTCTTGAGTACCCTTTGAGCTAAGTAATTCCCCTTTGAACACCATGTCCTCTACTACCACTGCTTAGAATATTTGCTGGAGTTGTCAACTACTCAATTTTTGCAGCAGTCGAGTGTTGCTTACCTCTGATGACTGCCGCATTCTACCAAACTGATGACTGCTTTCGCAACCTGTCATTTATGAATGGAAATGTTCGATTTTCTTCTCAGTCTGGGAAAGAAGGTTCAAAAGCATCAATATATTGGGCAGCATAACTATTTATCAATGTATGTGTTGGAAAATATCTTCAATAAAAGTTACTGTCTCATAAACATACACTTCAATTTTCTTTTAAGGGGTAGTTCTTTAAAGTTTTCTGTTTCAACATTCGTGTGATATGTTGATAGTTCTATCAATTAACTGTTTCGAAATAAAAAATAATGGGCAATAGATGAGTTACTTCATCTACTTAAATCATTTGTTATTCGGGGAACCTCCTCCCCAATACAACACCTGCAAAGTTTTACTCACTATACATCATATCTTAATTATCTGCCCATGTTTTAACCGTCATCGTCTAACCTTTTTTGGTAGTTCTATTTTAACTCTTCAGGATTTGTTAGGTGACTCTCATCATCCTATAATTTTTGCGTTTCAACGCGCAATTGGTCTTCTATACTGTATATAACTGTCTTATCCTATTCACAATTTTATCTGATTTTATTCATCTTTGAATACCTCTGTCACGTTGTATCTAGTTTTTAAATTCCGTGTGACTTTTAATGAAGAAAATTTGTAATATGCATTTACCTTATTTTAAAACCGTTCGTTTGGCACAGCATGTCCTTCTTTGGACTTTGTGCCATTAAACCCCACATTCAATCAATCAATCATCTGCTTAAATTGTTTTGAGAAGGGCTACACATGATTGATATTATGGTAAATATTAATAAAAGACTGTTGCCTGTCGGTGGATAATGGTTGGTAGGTAGATGTGGCGGTTGTCTGTCACAAACCTGAGCGGGTGCCTGTCACAAACCTGTGGCGGGCGCCTGTCACAAACCTGTGGCGGGTGCCTGTCACAAACCTGTGGCGGGTGCCTGTCACACACCACTCAATTTTTGCAGCAATCGAGTGTTGCCTACCTCTCCCTTTGAGGAAATATCAATTATCAAAAGTGCTCCGAAAAATTAGTCAGCGAAAAAAAATTAAGAAATTCTCGAAAGTTTTTTTTAAAACTTGTTTCGATATTTTCGTAGCATATTTGTAGTTTTTTACTCAAATTAACGAAAAACCAAAGGAGCCAAATTAGAAAAATAAAAGTACGCAGTGTTTTGCTTTTAATTTTACATTAGTTAGAATTAGATAGCTCATTGGGTCAATATTCTGTAGAAAGAATAAATCATAATCAATGGAAATCAAGTTTTCTGTTTCAACATTCGTGTGATATATTGATAGTTCTATCAATTAACTGTTTCGAATTAAAAAATAATAGGCAATAGATGAGTTACTTCATCTGCTTAAATAGTTTTGAGAAGGGCTGCACATGATTGATATTATGGATAATATTAATACAAGACTGTTGCCTGTCGGTGGATGATGGTCGGTAGGTGGATGTGGCAGTTGCCTGTCACAAACCTGGGCGGGTGCCTGTCACAAACCTGTGGCGGTGCCTGTCACAAACCTGTAGCGGTTTCGAATCAAAAATTAATAAATAAGTTACTTCATCGGCTTAAATAGTATTGAAAGTAGAATAATAGTATTTAAAAGCTCAAATAAAAGTACGGAATGTGTCGATCTTCTAAACAAGGATCTTACTCAGTGTCTAAACGTAAAATGATAGTAGAAAAGTAAATAGATTAACAACAGGAACAGAAGGACAACAAAATAAAAAAGAGTGATAAAAAAACCGAAGTGAAGCTGTCTCGATGGAAACCCTAGAGTACAAAAGATTAAATTAGAGTAGATTTCCAAAATTTAAGAAAAGGTGTTAAATTTAAGAAAGTTAAAGATTCTCTAAAAGAACGAACGGGAAAGTGCCTAGTTTTTATTGAAAACTAATANAAGCTGTCTCGATGGAAACCCTAGAGTACAAAAGATTAAATTAGAATAGATTTCCAAAATTTAAGAAAAGGTGTTAAATTTAAGAAAGTTTTAGATTCTCTAAAAGAACGAACGTGAAAGTGCCTAGTTTTTATTGAAAACTAATATATAAAAATAAATGTATATACAATGTGTGTATTAATTTTTGATATATTTGAAGTGCTGTGAAATATAGTTTAAAATAAACTATCTTTAAACACATTACAAATGAGTCTTGTACTGCCATCTAGTATAAAGACAGATAATTAAACATGATTTTGCCATAAGAAATAAATCGTTTAATGTTTTAAACACCTAGTCCCGGAAATATCACAGAGAAATATATAGAGGGTGGCATTTTGACGCGAGCCAGAAGGTTTATTGAAATTATAAGAATTTTTCAAAATGGAAAATGATTTATAAAACTAAAGGTCAGTAGATGAAGTTGAATGCTTATAGCAGCAGAACTTAGGATTGGAACTCCAATTCTAGAGCAATGGAGGATCGTTTAGTATCCTAATTTTTACATATATTTCATGTTCTTTAAGTTTAAATGTAAGGGTAAGTTTAATTTGCCCAATGTATGCAGGATCACAATTAAAAAATTTTATAATTATTCTTGCTAATAGAATATGAACACTACAATTCTTTTATCAACATATCAACGATT